TCTCGCTCTGTCGCCCAGGCTGGAGTGCAGGGGTGAGATCTCAGCTCCCTGCAAGCTCCGCCTCCCGGGTTCACGCCATTCTCCTGCCTCAGACTCCCGAGTAGCTGGGACTACAGGCGCCCACCACCTCGCCCGACCAATTTTTTTGTATTTTTAGTAGAGACGGGGTTTCACCGTGTTAACCAGGATGGTCTCGATCTCCTGACCTCGTGATCCGCCCGTCTGGGCTTCCCAAAGTGCTGGGATTACAGGCGTGAGCCATGGCGCCTGGCGTGCCCCCATCTCTTGAGTCTTTACTTGCCATCTTCTCTGGGTCTCGGTCTTCTTCTTGGGTCTTCCCGCCCAGCCCCGTTCTCTAGGTGCCTGTACTTCTTATGGGTCTTTGACCCCCATCTTTTGTAGATTTAGTTTCTCCTTTCTCACTGTCTTTGTCTCCCTTTCTCCAAATCTCCCTCTGGGGCCTCTGTCCCTCCTCCACATCTCTGTCTTTCTCAGGGCCTCTGTCCCTTTCACTCTGGGTTTCTGCCCCCTTCACTCCGGGGCTCTGTCCCTGTCTCCCAGGTTTCTGCCTCTCTCTGTGGGGTGCCTGTGCCCCAGGCCTGTCTCTGAATCTCCCTTGGACTTTGCCTTCAATGACTGTAGGTGTCTCCGGCTCTTTGACTCTTTCCCCATCTGATGGCAGCTCCCCCAGTACCCAAGGCCCTAGGGTTCGTCTTCCCCATTGGTCCCAATATGAGGGATCCCCCCATAACCCCCGTTCCTGGCTGTCCTTTCACATCCCATCTCCCCTCTCAGTTCGGTGTCTGGGCTGAAGCAGACACTGCTGGCGGAGTCCGGGGATCTGACCAGCTACAGCCACCGGGTGTTCTTGGCCTGGGACTTCGGCCTCTGCGGGGACGTCCACGTGCGGCTGTGCCAGCACATCATCTGGTACGAATTACAGGTGCGATTAGGGGGCGGGTTATGCAACGGGGTAGGGACCAGACCGGACTGGGCTGAGATAACGCACGGGGCCTAACCCGGTGATGGGGCCTAGGTGTGACTAGGGGGCGGGGTCTGCAACAGGGTAGGGACCAGGACCGGGCTGACATAACGCACAGGGCCTAACCCGGTGATGGGGCCTCCGGAGAGACGCTAGGCAGCTCCTTCTCCAAGAAAGGCAGGTCCTGGGGATGAGAGGGTTGAGAGGAGGCCGCGATAGGGCTACCCAAGATCCAAGAGTGTAGGAAAAGGATGCGCCAAGGCTGGGATCGGTGGCTCATGCTTGTAACCCCAGCACTTTGGGAGACCGAGGCAGGTGGATCGCTTGAGTCTAGGAGTTCGAGACCAGCCTGGGCAACATAGGGAGGCTCCCTCTCTACCAAAAAAAGCAAGCACAAGAAGCGGGCGGGGCTTTAAGGCAATTTGGTTCAAAGTTAAGTGATGGGAGCAGCCAGCGGGGCATCTTGATATAGATGAACTGGAACTTCAGTCCAGGCATTAAGCACAGGGCCGCCTGGGGGCGGAGCCTCTGATGGGCAGGGCTGACCAGGGGCGGATCTTGGGGGTGTTGGGCGGAGCTTCAGGGGCGGGGCCCTGGGTGCTGAGATTGGCCGTGCAGGGATGGGGGCTTGGGTTGCTGGATCCGGCCGCGGAGGGGCGGGGCTGTAAAGGGCCACTGGTTTCTTAGAGCGCCCCGGAGCGGGTGGAACCGGGACTGCAGAGGTTGTTAGCTGGTGGGGAGATGGCTGCATCAGTTCACGTTGAGGAGGATCTCTGGAGAGCCAGGCCTGGGGAACCCAGAGGCCAGCGCCTTGGGAAATGGAGTCCAAGCTGACATCTCTCCTGCCTTCAGGTGGAGCTGGAGGAGACTGGTGCGGCGCCAGGCTGCTGTGGGGACTCTGAGCCAGGAAGCCAGGGTTTGGTTGGTGCAGGTGCTGCTCAACCTGCTGGTGATCGCACTCCTTGGGGGAGCCTTCTATGGCGTCTACTGGGCTACAGAGAGCATCGTGGCGCTGCAGGTGCGGAGGGTCTTGGAAGAGGAAGCGGGTCCTGGAACCTATATTTCCAACGATGGAGGGAGGGAATGGAAGTTTGGGATGCCAGAGGTCTTACAGAGGAAGTATGGGAGAGGGTATGTTTGGAACCTGGAGTTCGGGGTTTTAAAGGAAGAAGAGAGACTGGGCGCAGTAGCTCACACCTGTAATCCTAGCACTTTGGGAGGCTGAGGTGGGGGGATCACGAGGTCAGGAGTTCGAGACCAGCCTGACCAACATGGCGAAAATCCGTCTCTACTAAAAATACAAAAATTAGATGGGCGTGGTGGGGCACACCTGTAATCCCAGCTACTCAGGAGGCTGAGGCAGAAGAATCACTTGAACCCGGGAGGCAGAGGTTGCAGTGA